AGACTGAAGTACTTTATCAGACTTTTGCATAATAAAAAAATCAAAAAAGAGAGGGAACATTCTGTCTTCAAAAAAACAAACAAAAAGTCTTATTCTTTATTAAATCCAAAGGTATATTTGGCAACACTAAAATGTACTGTTATCTACATTTTATGGAAACTTTGCCAAAGTTTATTTGCTTTAATCAAATGTAAATCGTAATTCCCTAAATCAGTATCCCATATTTGTTACATTTTATGGTTCTGATCCCTTCTGCCAAATCTGGATAATTGCACCCTCAGACTGTGACAAACAAGGCAAAATATGATGCTGAAGTAGGTATGAAGTAATTGGAGCTAAACAGAGGTGCAGTTATAATCCTGTCTAGTAAGGTTCTGCAAGCCTGAACGAACATGTTAAATATACAATTGTTAACTGAAAAACTAAAGCAAGACAGACTTACAGAAAGTCTGATATCCTCCTCATTCTGTAAGCAGATATGACAAAAGGATATGCAGATTGAGAAAGAGGAGTGTGAGTATGAGTGTGAGAGTATGAGAGTGTGAGAGTGTGTGTGTGTTGATATATATACATGTCCACGAAAGCAGTCATGAGAAAAGGACATACAGACTAAGGGGTGTGTGTATGAGTGTGTGTGTGCACGCATGCGCACGTGTGTACACACACTGATGTATATGCATGTCCATGTAAACAGACATGAGAAAAGAATAGAAATGAATATGTGAACTAAGAAAGAGGGATGTGTGTGCGTGCATGTGTTGGTGTGCATATCTGTGTCCTTGTAAGTATACAATTCATATTTATAAGTCTGTATAAGCACATCTGAAAGGTTTTATCTTTATCTAGAGACAGCAAGATATTTTCTTCTCTTAAGTATTTTCTATTTTTTGCTACAAGCATAATCACTAAAATATGAAAACAACAAAAATTGTTTCAAAAATGCTGATAACAAGACTAATTTTCATAAATATAATTAATTTTTCTGTTAATTGGATAAAGGGAAAAAGGTCAAGCCTCTTTATATTGTTATTTTACTAACTGGCAATAGTACATAGAAATAAAATATTTTATTTAAAAAAAATGAAAATCCTAACATTTTTCAATGGTTTCTATCAATTAAAGACAGAAACGCCCTAGAAATGAGTAGGAATAAAACTCTTATTAGGCCTTTACACTGTAAAACAGAACCAGTCTTGAAAGTAACATCACATGACATTCCAGAACTGAAAAAACTCAATGGAATGAAGAAAAATCAAATTAATGAAAGCAAGAAATCCTAAGGAATTTCTAAGAAAATACATGTCTACTGGACAGAGAGGACAACAAGTAGCCTGGGCAGCTGGTTGGAGGTAACACCCTGGGGACCCTGAGCTTCCTGGGCCAGGACACTTCCCCAAACCCTCCATGGGGCTTCTCCACAAGGCTGCAGCTCCAAGAGCACCAAGTCAGAGAAATCCCTTTACTTTGAAGCCCCACAAGGTTCTCTCTATCCCAATGCTCAGTTTTATTTTAATAATAGTATATGCCATGATATTAATGCTTTATTATTATATTTATGCCTATCTTCCCCAATAAGAAAACAGAATAAGGGCACAGGCTTTGTCTGCCCAATTGCCTGGTATCGGCAGGGCCTGGCTGTAGACTATTTATTGACCATAATACTCACCGCATGCTACCTTGTGCTGTTTCTTATCTTTTTTTTTTTTTTTTGGCATTGGAGTCTCACTCCGTTGCCCAGGCTGGAGTGCAGTGGCACACTCACAGCCACCCCAGCATCAACCTGCTGGACTCAGGCGATCCTTCCGCTTCAGCCTTCCAAGTAGCCGGAACTACAGGAGCACGCTACCATGCCCAGCTAATTTTTAAACATTATTGTAGGCATGAGGTTTTGCCACATTGCCCAGGCTGGTCTCAAACCCGTGGGTTAAGGCAATCCTCTCACCTCGGCTGTCTAAAGTGCTGGATTACAGACTTGATCCACTGCGCCCAGCCTGTTTCTTATCTTTTTATGTATAAACAAAAAGCAGTAAGACTGAACATGAATAATTAGAATTCTATTTTCCAAGTCTTAATTCAGACATAATATTATTGTCTGGTTATTCTTCCAAAAATGAAATTTACATTGCTCAAAGCCCTGACACCTCTTGGAAAAAAGACTAGTCATAGATATGCAGGATGATTCTGGAAGTGCCTTTTTATAATTGGGGTGATGCTGAGAAGCCTGGGGCCCAGAGGTCTACTACTACAAGCACTGAAGATCAACAGAACAGGATAAAGTAAAATGCTGACTAGGTGGGACTGGAAGGGCAGGTGATCAGAGTTGGTATCTTAGGGTCCTTGCACTGGCTGAGAAAAAAAGTACAGATAAAGACTAACTTTAAACTTTATTAAATATCACATATTAAATATGCAAAATTTCTAAGGAAACCACAACAAACATAGAAATATAGATAATTACTTCCAAGTTAGCAGAAAGATAATTAAGGGTGCAAGTTAGTAGAAAGATAACTAAAAACTAAAAAGGGTGCAAGAAAAGAAAAACAAATGCAGAAGAGGGACAAATAGAAAGCAAAAATGAGGTGTTAAAAAAATGCAAACAAATCATTATTCACAAAAATATATAAAATAAAGGCTATAGTATAAGATTTTTAAAAATCTAGCTGTAGACTAGTTGTAAGAATTTTTATAAAATTGACCACAATACCAATTCACAAAGCAAGTGGTACGCAGCTCTGGAAGCAATTTCCAAAAGAATCCTAAAAAGGTTTTGTGTTATGAAGTTCTGATCAAAATGAATGCGTAGTCTAATATAACCCAAACGGTTGCCATTTCAGAGGAGTCTACCAACTTATTTTGTAAGCCGGAAGACATTTTTTCCATAGGAAAAAAAATTGGCACCCCTGGCAGACAGGTTCTCAATATAATACAAACATGCAAACCTGCCCCTTCTTGTGTCTTCGGTGTAGCCACTGAGAACCAGAGTCATGAGCTCTATTGGTCAGAATGTCTCTGTGAGTGAGCACAGCCGTGGGGTAGCTCTGGAGTAGACGCAGCTCCTCCAACCAAGTCTGCGTGCAGTGTCTAGGCCTGAGATAGGCACTGCAGCAGGCAGAAACTAGGAAAGTGGGGAAGATGTCTTTCTCTTCACCCCAAGTAAAAAGGGATTTCTTCCTTGGCCTGACAGATAACCTATATTCTCACATGGCACTGGGCAACACAGAACTGGAGAGCAGGGTTATGTATGTGGGACATCGAACAGAAGCAGCTGGTGGAGGAAAGACAAGGTGTATGGAGGGGCCTGGGATACAGGCAAGTCATTCTTATTTAGGCTGAAGTGGACAAGCTGCGAACTACCTGAAGCACCATCACAGACGAGTGTGTGACTGTTAAATAAGGTAGCTATGGTACTTTACAGCTATACTCTGTTTATGGTCACTTACCCATCTGTGCCTTTTGGGGACAGAGTCCACTTATGGCACTCATTAAGTGCTTGCATGAGAACTATGACCATCTGTGCTCTCAGTTCTACAGAGGACAGGACAGGACCTTGCAATGGGTCCACTCAGCAAATATCTGAAGAGCTCCTACTGCATGCCATGCACACTCTATCCTAGGAAAATGGGCCACACAAGACTCCATTCATACAGTCAACAAACAAGAGTGAGACCTTCACAGAATTAAAATAGATTGGTATGCTAGTAAGTGACTGGTTGTTTCTTGGTCTGTACTGAGTAGACAAGGCCTCTCTGAGAAGGGGTGTTTAGGGTAAAATATGAGTGAAAAGCAGGGATAAACCACAGGAGGATGAGGTGAAGGTACACTCACATGGAGGACACAACCAGATGGGCAAGAGCATGGCACACGGGCATGGCCACCAAGTGGCAGGAGAAGAGAAAGCAGGGACGTTGGACCCCATCAGGTAGCATCTGCAAGGTGCACCAGCAGGGTCCAAGGTCAGCTTCATGGGAAGAAGATTCTGCATGAGCAGCACATCTACTTAGCTGGCATGTGCTAGGCACCCTGTACAAGACTGGCCACCTGTGACTATAGCCCAGCACATGGGGCATGCCAAGGCCTGCACTGCAGAAGGAGGGGAAGCGAGCTCCTGCATCTGACAGCTGGTGGTGTATACAGGCACTGTGGTGAGGACAGTGTGGTATACACAGATTTCCAAGGACAGAGGACAGCACCAACATTATGAGCTAAGTCAACGGAAGAGCCATCGCCCTTCAGAGAAACCTTCAGAGAAAGCCAGCTTATAAAGGAAACTATGTCTTCCTCTTCACAGTGGTTACATCTGGGAGCCCACGCCTTCCATACTGTCTGATTCATTCCACGTTATACAAGGTGTATATTTTAGGTTCATATTTCACTCACAGGTCATTAGGTATTTTAGGTGCTCACTCACAGGAAAAGATTCCATCATATATATTACGGGTATTGCTCTTAAAATATCATTTTTAGAAATATTTAAAAATGAATTTATAAAAGTTTATATTATAAATATTCGTCTTTAAGTTGATTAGGCATTCAATAGTAACTACTTATATCTAATCTCTTATGCTGAGTTGCCATTTTGAAAAACAGTTCACACTAAAACACTACCTTTTCCCATATTTTAACTACCTTGACAGATACATTATATCCTCTTTTAAATATACATAATTTTAAGATGTCAATGATTGTACACAGATTCAAGGGCACTGAAAATTAAAAAATTATTTCATCAGATTCAGGTTTGAATTTTATCAGGAAATATCTTCTGATTGCATAAGAGTATATTATCAATAAGTTTACATAAGGAAAAGTATCAGATCTCTAGATCATCCTACCAAAATTGACCACGGTCTTCAAAACAATGTTTCTATGGAAGGATTCCTCACAATTTCTGGCTCCTTTCCCTTTCTTTGTTTAGTTAATCTCTCTCAAGTTGAGAAATATACATTTCAACAAAATCATGTTCTACGAAACCAGATATTTATTTTAATTTTTAAACCTACCTTATGGGAATGATGTAGGAAAAGAGAAGAAGGAATCGAAAAAGATTGCGGTACCATGGGCCTACAAATCCTTGTAATGTTACCATAACAACTGAAAGAGCAACTAAAGCCAAAAATAGCGCCTTCGTCAGCTGGTTGAGTTCAAGGTCCAACAAGCCAACCTGAAAGAAAAAAAACATAAAATTAATGCATGCACAAGCTAACCATAATGTTCCTCATATCATAAATCAGAATACATGATAATGATAACATAGAAACTTACAGATTTTTAAAATTAGCCTTTATCATAATGAAATAGAAAAATGTATGAACTTCACTTTTCTCCTGAAAAACCTCTAACAGACTGAGGCAAAATTTCTGAACATGAGTGATGATCCCCAAAGCATGCAAGCACAATAAACTCAGACACTTCTCTGGAAGGATGATGTCATGATCACCTACCAGGACAAAGTGAGGCAAAGTCATAGGAAAGCCTTGGAAGCCTGCTCAGTGACCTGCCTGAAGCAGAGAGGTTTTTTTGAGAGCAAGAGCATACTTCGCCATGTGCCATGGCAGGAGAGGCCCTGTTTGGGATGTCAGGTGCTCTTCATAATTCCCCCTTGGGGATTACATTCATACTCGGGTCTCCAAGACCAGCATGTATATCTTCCCTGTCAAGAGGCTCTCTGAGAGAACTTCCTCAATGAAGGGGGTAAAGTCATGGCTAGAGTGGTAGCTTGAACTGCAAACTTTTCAATGTGCAAAACCCTATACTTTCAGTCCTACCAGGGAGGCATGCTAACTCCAAACCCCTTTGTGGATCATTCCTCAGCTGAGCAAAGTAGAAAAGTCATCAGTGAGAATCTGTTCCTTTTTTGCTGCCTTCTGTACAGGATCTTGGAAACAGTGAGAACCAGTAGCCCAAACAATTCACTCCGCAAGTTAAGAGAATTCAGTTCTCATGAAGCATGCAGCTTCAATTTCGAGCTCTAGCAATCTCTATGAACTGTTTCTCCTTGCTTAGTTTCATCCCTGAAAGACCACAGTGTAATACAATGGGGTGGGGGGACTGGTGGGAGAACTGGAGCTGCAGGAGGGCTATAGAACCCACAAAGCGAATGGCATGCGGCACAGAAATGAGGTTTCCTTGGATCCTGGATTTCAGCTTGCTCATGTGCTGATTCTGCCAGCTGGCTATGTAACTCTGGGCACGCTGAGCTCCAGTTTTCTTATCTATAGAACAGGATGATCACAGAGTCTTCCTCACAGGACCCTGGGGCTGAATGGGGTCCCATTTCGCACAGTGACATGGTACCTGCCATGCAGGACACCCCAGTGCTGCTGTTGTTACTATTACCCACTTGGACCCACATCTAACTTCTCTGTTTTCTATTTGTGTGACTTAGGGGAACATCCTTAAGTTCTTTAAGTCTATTTTCCTTATCTGTAAATGGTAAAATTTACATTTCACACCATGCACAGAGGTGCCTGGGAGCTCATACAGTGTTCAGTGTAAGAAACCTGCTTGGGTATCACTGGGCCAGCACACAGCATGCATTTAACTTAACCATTTACTTCTGATTCATGTGACATCAACAGAAGACTAAATTTTATTAAGTTAGTTATCCATCTGCCATCTGGATTTCCCCTGAATCTGAAACAATTTTTGAAAAAGAGTACTTAGAAAGCATGATTGCCAAAACCTTGATAAAAACAAATTAAAAGTTTGAGAATTACTGAGCTAACAAATAACTTGGTTTATTTTGTAACGTTCTTTGAAAACCCACAACTTTGGTCAATAGAAAGCTAGCCATTCCCCACAACTCATATATTTAGTTTGTATCTGGATTTGACTAATATTTGATTGACAAACTCTCAAGAGATTATTAGAATCTGTGGTTTAAAAAAAATAAAACTTTGTCAGAAAGTCCATTAAGTGCAGCTATGAAGAACTAATTCAACAAATTAAATGTCTACTAAATTTTGTGTCAAACGCTAAGAAAATAAGCTAATTATGAGATTTTACCTGTAAGAAACAGCCAAGACGAATGCCAGTGATACATGGCATAAAAGAGATTCATAAAATACAAAGTTTTCTCTCCCAAGGAAGCTTACATTTAAATCACGTCTTGCAGCTGACACTCAGCACTACTGCTAGTTCACACTTTATGGTGGAACAGCAGAAATGACAAGGTCCCCAAAGCAACATGCCCAGTATTGTCTGCATGCAGGTTCCCAGTCCAAGCCCAAACTCAAACAGCAATGCGGGGCCTCCTGTGCTGGGTTCTGGCTCACTGCAGTGTCATCTCCCAGCCACTTCCCTGCAAGACTCATAACTAAGGACGCTTGAAACAACCTAAGTATCCATGTTCTGTGGAGGAGTTCTAGGTTCTAGGGTAGCAATACACGAGACTCCTGGCTCCCCGCAGACCCTCCTCTACATTGCAACAGGGCACAACAGTCCTTCTCCAAGAAGCTCCTAAAGACTCATACTCCCAGCTTTAGGCACTGCCCTCTAGTGCACAGCAGTGAAGCCTGCCCAGCCACAGCCAGTGTCCACAGGATGCTTCCCGGCTCCAGCACAGGCTTCTATCTCCTGAGCCAGCAGGCAGTCTAAAAGGAGCTCCCTTTGACCAGCTCCAAGCATCCTGGCACGGCTGCTGCGGAGACTGGGCCTACCCTGAGAACCAGGCAGCTGAGACCACAGCGGCTGATTTATCAGCTCCATTTAGAAAGCAGCACAACAAGGACAAATATCGTGCAGTTTCCGCTACTTCAACTACTACATAGTTTATGCTTGAATTATTGAGAAAAATAGGTTTTTGGATTAAAATGAAGAAAAATTAAGCCAGGGAAGTAGAGCATGTTTCAAAGCCCAGATCTTTTTGCTGTGACAAAGGCGGTCTAAGTTTCAGGCCTCACTGAGGATCAGATGAAGTCATTATTCATTCAGTCAGGGAAAAAAGACTCAATTACCTCAACCTAAAGATGCTATCAATGAATGCAAAGTGCATATTTTACTCTATTCATCCAAATCCCATTAAAAAGTGAAAGGAATGATTTAATCTGGGCTTCCAGAGTTGGTCTTTTTTTGTAATAAAAGAAAGAATCACTGTCTTGCAAAATGCATAACCACTACCTCACACTTTCCCCTGCATCATAGCAGGGAAAGACTGTAAAAGCCAGGACAAAAACACTCAGAAATGAATACAAAGTTTCCTTTGAAGAAATGCCACATCTCAGATGGAAACATTAACAGCAGCCCACTGCACACCGATATGCAGACCATTGACAGCATTCACACCTTTCTCACTGATGAAGACAGATGTGGTCAATTGCTCCACTAGTGAACGTAACTGTTTTGAAGACAACTAACTGTTGTTTTCTCCCAACCCCTTTGATGTGAAGCAGAGCAATAAAAAAGTTTCGCAGAAAAAAAATACACCTTCTCAATAACAGGCTGTCCCTTGCATTCTGAAATTAGGGAGCCTCTTCTGAACTACAATCATCCTTGCTGGAATGGAGCTGGAAGCAAACTATATATAGTGGAATCTTTCTTTCCTTTCCTCCCTTCCTTTCCTTTTTGCCAATTCTAACAAAACAATGAGAAGAAAAGATATATTTAACACTTAAAAAACTTCACTTTCAACCTACAGTTCATCTTTTTTTATTCAATTCTCTGAAACACTGAAAAGTTTCTCCAACTCATCCAAAATACAATCTAGAGTCTTAAAAACTAAAATAAAAACCAGTTAACTTATAAAGTTACAGAATTATAAAGAAGGTGGTAACTTCAGTTCTGATGTGAAATCTTTTCCCTCTTTAGAAAAATTTCTTAAACACCTGGACAGTTTTGATAAACTTTTGCTATGATTGCAAATCTTTTCACCCATCAAATATATCATTAATCACTTGAGTAATTATGACTGTGTTAAGAAAAGGTAAATTAAGTATACTTGGAAGTCATTTCCAACATTTATTGTAATTTTCTATATTAGTAAAGCAAATATTCTTTTACTTGTCATAATATTTGTTTTATTTGAAACAACTGTGATAACAAAATTAAATACGCTACTGGAAATTTTAATCTCCAAGGGAAAACTTGTGCATAATGTCTAAGTCAACCACAATGGTTCTGCAAAGGGGCTGTTCTAGGATAATGAACACAATAATTGCCTGTATAATCTAAAATGCTACTAATGGCAACGATCACAAATCCATTTAGCTCCTCTTTAATTTATGTACCAAGTTTTAAATAGCTAATGGTTCTCAGTAAAATAATGGTTTATACCAACAATAAAGGGTAAATACGGTATTCTCCTGCTTAATCAAGAAAAGATCAGTCAGGTTTTTTTGGTGTTTTTTTTTTTTAAATGAATGCACAGATGAATAAGAATCGAACCTTATCTCCGTAACACAACACCATTCCAATCTATCTCAAAGTAAGACTCTCATAATACTACCAGGTTCCCAAGAAATCAATGTACATGCCTAATCGGAACAAAAACTGAATGTCAGAAAATTGTAAGCCCTTCCAATGATTAAACGAGGTGCCTGCACACCACTCACTGCTGACAGCATTACCCTGGGCTCACAGGGTATGAACACCAAAACACTCTTGCCATCTTTTACAACTGACATGTATTTACTCCTGACACAGAATAGCCAAATAATAAAATGAAAAATTTCAAAGAGCTAATTTACACTCTTGCAGAAAGTTAAATATTATTTTAATTTGTTCTATATTTTCCCTGTGAATCCAGCACAACTTGAAAGAGAGAAAAGCCTGAAATCGAGTACCTAATTAATTCAAGACTACTCTGCATAGGCAGAAGTATAGCTTTGTACATGAAAGACTCCTTAAGGAATACAAAAATACTGCTAATGTTTTTTATCTTTTATCAGCTAACTGTGGATCAGTTCTTCCTCATTCAGAATTTGGACAAAATTAATATAGGGCTAATGCTTTAACCTAACTGAAATTCCTATAGAAACACACTCCTTTTACATATTTCTAAAACAAGTAAGCCCTATATTTCCCACTAGTAAAATCTTAAGAAGCAAGAAAAAAGTAGTTAGCGTTTAAACCTTCATTTGTATTTCTGTATTTCAAATAAATGAAACTCATGCATTAAATAAATCTAAGTCCTAAATCTTACAACAATAACTTTTTCCATTATGA